GAACAACATGAACTAAATTTCAAAGAAATACCCAAACACAAACATTTAATATACACAAGGATAACTGGAGCCATAAGAACAACAGCTGCAACATACAGTCGAGATAAAAAAAAAAGCAAAGAATTTTCTTCTTACAGAAATAAAACGATACGGATAAATCTGGAAAAAATGTATGGGTATGGTGAATTGGATAAGTATCCACATGCAAAGAGATGAGAAGAGCGAGAGAATGAGAAAGGTACCGAAGAAAGTGGTTGATGATTTCACCTAAATCCACAAACTGTTTTTCAATTAAAAAGTCGATCTTTTTGAAGGCAGCAGGCGGATTACACTCTACCTCTACCTCTACCTCTACCTCTGATGAAAGCTTGTTTGGTCCAATCTTTTCCAAAGATTGAAAATAATAATAATTCTAATCTTTGAACAGAATTTGAGCACTATCAATATTAAAAATATAAATGTTTAATGTCAAGAGAGTTATCTTTGAACTGAATATGGGATTAACCTAAATTTCAGTTGATAATAGTTAGATGGGATTCTAATTAATATTATTGGTTGGATATTACTTATTATTCAAGTATATTTAATGCAATAGATATTAATTAATAATAAAACATATTAGTAGGTAAGATTGTTTGATGATTAAATTATTTTATAATCAAATAAAATATCTTATAAGCAGCTAATGTAACACCCAACCTGTATCTGACCCAGATACGAGTCCAAGATGTCACATTGACATTTCAAAACATTTATTCTTTCAAAATAACAGAACGTTTGAACTTATATTAAGAAAATACGATTATATATTGTTGAATTGTGTTTGTTATAAAATTTTGAGGTAAAAACGTATTTATGAACAGTAAAATATGATATAAACAGTATCGTGAACAATACTATGAACAATATCTTGCTACAGTACTCGAATGTTAAAATTTTCCAGATTGTCATAGGGGAACCGATTCCCCTGCTACAGGGAACCGATACTCTGCTACAGTACTTCCGTAAAATACGTATAACTTCATAAAAAACCCTAAGTTTTCATCCGTATAAAATCACCATTTACATATACACATTTAAAACATTACAAAACTCAATCATATGAATTTACAAAACCGATTAAAACATATCGGATTCAAATATTTGTTTACATGTCAACCATTATGAGTAGTATAAAATACATACTATTAACTTATTTTCTGATCTGATCTTTGGAAAGGAGAACTGACTTGTCTTGTTCCTTTTTACTTCTCTTTTCGCTTTCCAAACCTACGTGTGAAACAATCACACGCTAAGTCGATGATTTATTGAGGCATAAAAACATATAATGAAAACCATAAAACATTTCATAAAGAAATGCTCTTAACATCATATAATTCATATCAAATGCATGAATATTTATTACGATCATATCATATAAAAACATATATCATTTCTGTAACATATATCCACATCCACATATATCCTTATCAACACGTTTAACATTTCATATTCATTATCATTAATCCCTATAATTTAACCATCTTATACATAACGTATCATGCATTAACCAAGCAATACACCATTACATAAATCCTATGATCTATTTGGTATAACAATTAACATATACATATTATATTCAATATACTTATTAAATTTTTTTGTTAGCCCATGTACACTATTGAGAACTGAAGGTATGCGAGTACATTGAGGTTGTGCACTAATGATGTCACCACAGCTCGTATAAGTCCCATTGAGTGGCATATGAAACTTGTCCCGAAGGACCATTGTATTGTCCCGAAGGACCACTGTATTGTCCCGAAGGACCACTATAACCCTCGACTCTTGGCATGCCAACTATACCTATAGCTCTCGTATCATATAACATGGGCATTTTTCTTTTGCTTAATATATTCAGATGCTCATATCATGGCTCTTATGATCACATATCACATGTGCATATAATCACGTAGTTTACTTTCATGTAATTCATGTCACTTTTCATATGAATTCATATTCATATGTCACATAGCTCGTATCATTTTGCATGGATTCCCATAAATATATATATATATATATATATATATATATCATTTTATTCATGTCTTATTATTATATCATCATCTATGTTTCATCACTTAATCTCATATCATATAACATGCTCTATCCTCTTATGTTCACATGACATATAATGCATACAAATTATATTCATATATGCCTTTACTCATGAATTCATACATCATACAAATCATATCATCTCTTGTTCTCATATGTTTACAATACATCACATATATCACCAGTGCATTTTTCACATAAACATGTAAATTATGTAACATATAAGAATATATATCCATTTTAAGCCCCTATCATACCATTAAACTCAACTATCATTACTTAAACCAATTTATATCCATATAAACCATATTTATCTTCCATATCTCATTATGATTCTTAAAATTAAGAATCATACCAAATTTTCAACATGTTCTAATTTCAATTCTATCACTCCATATCTCTTAATTAAGCTGATGACAAGTCGAATTTAACTTCAAATTCAACTTATCAACTCTATTTCAAGATTTCATTCAAAAACTCCAAATCTTTAATCTCCCCTAACTCCTTTATCTTTTGATTTTAAGATAACTTAAGCTTTCCTTAAGCTTAGTTATCATCTAATGATCAAAACCCAAAGCTTAAATCAACAAATAATCAATTAATTAGAAAACTTACCTTTGAGCTTGGAGATACGAGAGGAGGAAGAAGATGAAGAAGGGAGAAGAGTTTGTAGATAACTTCCCCCACCCCACGTGAATCATTCATATAAAACGGGGGGAAAATCTTTCTTCTCAAATGACCATTTTGCCCTTTAATTCCTTGAATAATTACTAATAACTTTCCGGAAATATTCCCAAATAAATCATTGAACTATTCTACTTTTATCAACAAATTCTAAAATTTTATAATTTAGTCACTAACCCGTAGTTTGAGATGTTACAGCTAATAAGATTTAGAATTTATGATTAAATGCACGAATTAAGTGACTTCGGTGATAGAAAAATTATTGTTATTTTTTGAGGTTTTGGGTTCAAACATCAAGAATATCAAAGGTGTGAGCGTTTAACGTCACGTCAAATAATTAATAATTATCTTTGAACAAATGATGCATTGTACTTAACCTATTAAAAAAAATTTATGACTAAGTTCCCATTTGACGTAGCTTTGTAAAAGCACTTTTAGGTAAAATGTTCATTTTAATAAAATATGTCTCGTTTCATTTATCATCCTAATTCTGACAGATGCAAAGCACCCATCGGGGTGTGGGGTTTACAACTTTTTGCTGCTTTATTGCTCTTTTAACTAACTATATCTTCAACCATGTTAGTGCGACGTTTTAGTATATAGCTAAAATAAGACGTTATCGATTTTGTTATTATTTTAAATAAAAAAATTAATAAAAAAACTAAAAATATCATTATTTTGACCGATTATAACTACTTATATAGGTAATCACAATAAAAAAAATCCGGTCAAAAAATGGATGTTTTCGATAAAGCCTACCTAAAACATCATTTTTGACCGGATTTTTTTATCGCGTTTACCTATATAAGTAATTAGAACCGGTCAAAATAATGATGTTTTCGGTATTTTTTTACCGATTTTGTTATTTAAAATAATAACAAAACCGATAGCACCTTATTTTACTCGTATACTAAGGCGCCGTACGTGAGCGTTTCCCTTTTTTCACTCTCTGTCGTAAATGTTAAAATTTGAATATTATTGTATAAATATTGTGTTCTTTTCTTTTTAACAATTATATTGTTTACTCGTAATTATTTATAGGCTTAAATATATAAAATGTGTTCAATTTATGTTATTTTTTCAGTTTAATATCTAACGTTTATTTTATTTCAGTTTAGTGTATAATATTTTATTCCATGATTCAAAATAAGTATAGTCATAATAGACCGTTAAGTTTAGCGGTTAATTTATTAAAAATACCATCTGACATATTTTTAATATTAAAAATAATTTCTAAAAATAAGAAATTATTTTGTTCCAATTCGATACATATAGTTTATTTCGTTCTTTCTCTCTTCTGTTTCTCCGCCCAAAAACCCTAAATTGAATTCAATAACCCACCTTCTTCCACTTCTTCCTTTGTTCCACTCCAAACTCAAGAACCCACCTGTTTTGGTCGGCTCTTGCCTTGTTCTTCCAATTTGGAACTGGTGGTTTTGTTTTTTTTGGTATTATCCCTTCTTTCCATTTCTTCTTAGTTTGTTTGTTAATTTTATTAGTGGGATTCTAAGGGTTAATAATAAGTGAAATAAATTAGTTATATGAGAATTAGGATGAGTTTGAAATAGTTGTAAATGACAAGATTAAAGATTATCAACTCATATTTCTTTGGCAAAAACTTAGACGACGAAGAAGAAAAAATTCAGGAGAAACCATACATGATTTTGAATGTTGGGTCGTCATTGTGTTAAGATCAAAGGAGTGGAACAAAAGTACAATGGGTTATTGAATTCAATTAAGGGTTTTTGGGTGGAGAATGAGATGGAAAGAAACGTTAGTCACCAAATTGAATCGAAATAATTTCTTATTTTCAGAAATTATTTTTTATTATTAAAAAAAGATATGACTAACTGAATCGAAATAATTTCTTATTTTCGGAAATTATTTTTATTATTAAAAAAATATGCATATGACATTTTTAATAGGTTAATGGTCAAACTTAACGGTCTGTCACGGTTGGACTCATTTTGAGTCACGAAATGAAATGTTAGACACTAAACTGAAATAAAATAAATTTTAGGCACTAAACTAGAAAAACATGCATAGATTGAGCACCTTTTACATATTTAAGCCTTATTTATAACAATCAAACTTGAATTAGAAGCATAAGATCTGCATTGACACAAATAAACCGGAATCCAGAATTCTTACAGAACATCAAAAGGTTTATGATTTACGTCTGCAATGATCTGATGGAACATATAAACACAAGGGGATCTTGCAATAAATATAGAAACATTGATAGCATATATAACTACATTGTTTCATACAGACAATGGAACATCATACAAGGAAGATGGATGAACAAGGGGAAAAAGGGGAATTTTTCATTATACAGAAACGAGGGAGTTCCTTTCGTTTCTTTCTCACTATTTCCGGTTAAACAGACACCGGATTTTCCCCCTTTCGAGCCTCTCGAGTAGCTTCTTCCCACCGGGGACATCCATCTCTGAAAGCTTCTTGAGATACCCGATCGCTCCGTATGCGATCATAAGCTTCTTGCATTTCTTACTTGATGAAAGAGATGATAGGCATGACACTGCGTACTTTTTTGCAGTGTTTTGCGGGCTCGGATCGAGCAACTGGACTAGATTCGGCACGCTTTGATCATTCCTTTTCACTTCTCTGCAATTTTGGGAGACGGTTACCAAGCTTGAAAGGGCTTGAGCAGCTACTTCTCTAGCATTGCTTGATTTAGCCTCGAGCATTCTGATAAGATGAGGAATGAAACCGGCTTCACCCACGAGCTTTTTGGTTTCGCTCGTTCCGCATACTTGACAAATTGCCGATGCGGTAGCTTGTTGTGCACCCGGCGATCCGGATTTAAGCACATGAACTAATCGAGGGAGGAAGCCGAGTGACTTAAGAACTTCTATGGATACCGAGCCTACCAAGTTCCTCAAGGCTCGAACTGCGGATTCTTGGGGCGAAGGACTATCGAGGTATACCAATAGACTTCGAATTCCACCTTCTGATATGACGGACCTTCTCAGATTCTCATTGCTGGCAGTAAGGTTCTGCAGGCATTCTGCAGCATATTCTTTGGCACCCAACAAAATTCCACAATCAAGGAGATTGATCATTACCTTTATTATTCCTTCCTCTGCTAGTACTTGTCGAACCTCGGGAACGGCTGATATGTTTTTCAATGTACTAGCGGCTGCAGCCTGTGTAACCGAGCCTCCAGTTCGGCAGGTTTCGATTAGTGGTCGAACCCCACCATGTCCGACAATTGCTCGGGCTGTTTCGGTCGGGATCGATAATCTCTGCAGCGAAATTATTGCCTTCTCTTTACCAACTGTGCTACCAGATTCAACAAGCCTGATAAGAGGTGGCAAAACACCTTCCGAAACAAGCCAGCTCTCACAACTCCCGCATTCTGCAAGCGAGCAGATTGCAGTTACAGTCTTTTCCCGAATACGAGGCGAAGTCGCGGTTAACAACTCGACTAAAGCAGCAATATTACTCCGTCCCATAACAGACAATACACCCTTTTCATCCTCCTCCATGATCTCAACGAGGCTGTCAAGCGCTTTGTGCTTTGCTTCCAAGTGCCCTATATGAAGACGTGCAAGCAGTTCCTTTAGATGAGCCTGCGTCACAATCTCCGATTCCGACGAGGATGGACCGACCAAAGACACAGACAAAGTAGCTTCCCCGAGTACACCGGTCTTGATCAAAAGTCCACAATCCCTTAAATTCAGATCCAATTTCCCAGATAATGCATCCAGATCACTCTGCATCTTAAGCTTCCCTTCATACTTCTCCTTCAAACATGAATCCGCCAATTTGATCGCTTCCTTCAACGTCTTCGACACGGCCTGCAGTTGCTCCTTACATAGAGTGTTCTTCGAAAAGAAAGGATGGCTCGACAAATCCGATAACCGTGAAGGGACCTGCTCCAGTTTGGAAATTATCATCTTCCACCTACCGGGGAACACTTTCACCTCCCTTGCCTTATCAAGTGCCATCGGAACAAGCTCTTGAGCACACGATAAGCATTCATCGGCCGAGACCCCATTTCGCGTACCATCTCCCATGATTCAGATATGAATTTGGATCAAAATGATCATCAGAGCTGTATCAATGAACCAGATGAGAAAAAAAAAAGATGATTAATACAGAAAAAAATGATAAAGCAGTGCAGTTGCAATCATCAACCATGAAAATTATTAAATTATACAAATACTATTAAAGAAAAACAAAAAGGAGAGTTTCTAGAGAATCTTGTCCAACCACACAAAAGCTGGTTCACTGGAAATTGAAGTACCAAAAGAAGCCCTCAGGAAACCCTCTGCTTTAGCAAGTGATCATTAAATGCCAACTAAAAAAATTATGATCTTTTAAACAAAACATGTAACAATCATATGGGAATGAACGAAGTTTACTTTCTAACTACTAAAAGTTGAAGCCTAATCAATAAGCAGTCAATCCAAGTACCCAAAATACCCTTTTGAAGTAGGTAGAGAAAAAAAAAATAAACTTTTAACCATGGGAAATCCTTGTCTTGCCTTGTGAAGAATTTGCCTGACAACGAAAGCAAAAAGAAAATTGGATTTCTTATTATAAACCCAATAAATAGTGTTAGCTGGTGATGGTAATGAGGCAGAGAAGAAGACTTCACTTTGAAGAGAAGATAGTCCAAAGCTGGTGTATTTTTCGAGTGTATTTAAATTCTCCACGATGGAACAAACCCCACTAACAAATATATTTATTCCAAGAAAATTCAAAGCAATAAATTCCAAAAGAAAATACCTCAAATTGCTTTGACTTACCTTGAAATTCACAGCACTCTCTAGTCTCTACCATTTACAACATTCAAGCTCATATATATGAGAACAAAACGAAAGAAAGTAAGCTATACCAACCTTTACGACTCAGGTACTCCAAAGTTTGTCCCTTTTTTCTCCAGCAAGCAACCCACTGTGGCTTAACCTTCCAACTTTTCTTTCTCTTTTAAGACTCAACCCAGAAAAATAATGCTTCCAAGAATCAGCAACACGCCATGGATTTCGAAACTTTGAAACCTGCAGTCTGATTTCTATATAAAAAATACTCAGAACCCATTGTTTGTTCCCTAATGAAGGATCTTAAACTATGAAAGGCAAAGCAATTTCAAAACCCATTTAAGTATTCGAGGCTTGGAAACAATCAGATTCAAAACTCAAACCAGCTTCTGGTTTCTCTCTCTGTGTGTGTATTTCTCTCTTTATAATACTAATATAAAATAGAAGCACTGTGTCAGAACTCAAAGGCTTTTCAGATTCGGGTTCTTCTCTCTGTATAATTTTTAAAAAAGATTGTTTCTTTTTAAACTTTTGCCAGTTGCCAGCGAGGTTTCGATTTCCTAAAGACAGAATGACCATTGTGTTTTACTCATTTCGGACAGGAGTGTTTAAATGTCGAGCAACTTCTACGGTTTTGATTCCGCTTTAGGACAGATCCGACCGTTCGGATTTGGTTGCGATTTTTACAAATCGTGTTCCTTTCCGGAACCCTTTTCCATGCAGGGTTCGTTCCACGTGTTTTGTCGGTATTGGTTGAAGTTGGATATGGATTTGGTAAACCCAAACCCGACAAAGGTCAAACTCCAATCTATTTGTATAAGATAGAAATTTATGCATGCAGAGCTTACCTAGGATGCTTAAAAGTTCAATGGTGGTGGTAACTTACATTACACAGCAGCTTTTTCAAGTTTTAGACCTGTGAAAGTAAAAAAAAGTAAACTTGTAAAACTTGATCATAGTTATCCCAATTGTGAATCTTTATAAAAATTTATCCAAATTAATCGGACTAAATAATATATAAAAAAAATATTTAACATGCTATGTTAGTGTCGGCGTGGCCATGATGGGACGCTGGCGTTTGTCGGCTCTCTCTATAACTGTTTTGGTTTTTGGCTTTTTCTTACACCAACCTCCACGAAACCAAACAAAAAGAAGAATTGGCTCTCTTGTTTTACCGATAGTCGAGTAATTGACATTAACTTGACCAAAGGGGGGATGTTTTAGTAACATATAGCTTTCTGTTACCAAAACATGTCCGGTTGTAATATATTTGTAGGAAAATAGAATAGCTTTTACGTTATATAGCAATTTGTATAGTTTTTGGATTGAAGTGAAAGCACACCAACTGTATATATCATGAACCGACCAAATCCCATGAATCGATTCTAGAAACCGATGCCTAGAGGCTAGAAAAGCTTGTTCCGAGTCAAGCTGTACAACCGGCCTTGGTTGTCTCTTGGTTTTAGTAGAAATCACACATCTCTTACCTTCCAAATAATTATAATATATGGCATGATGTCAAATGTGGTATTGCGATTCAACAACGAAGTTTAATATCTTAAAGACGTTGTTATATCGATCAAATCAAACTTGAATATGCTTTTATACAAATTTATTATAATATATGATGATAAAAGTAAGTAAAATGATCACACACAAAAATGAGATATCAAAATTTTACATAAAAACACTAATCTGGAAAAACTATGATCAAAGGGAAGAAATTATTTGATTGCAAAAGAAACTTGCATAATAAAAAATCTACTCAAATTAAGTTTCTTACTTTTAATAGTCTAACAGTAGAAGTATAAACATGTATGGATTCTAATTGTACGAATTGCACCTATGATTTTTTTTGACAAATTTTAAATTTAATCTTAATTCTACTTAGATGAGAGAGGAAGGGGGACTCTAGAGGAAAGGAGTGCTCCCAGTAGATTTGAAATCTATGACCTAAGAAAATATGATTGAACAAAGGTAAGCAACTTGACCGATCGATCAAATGTGTTTACTCTATGCGTATGAATTTTTTAAATCATAAAACTCTAACAGAATCAACCTGCCAATTGAATTTATACGTAAATAACACTTGTTGCTTGATTATAGTTCAATATTAGATTAACTTTTGTGAATGAAATCTTTTAGCTCCGCAAGAGGAGTAGCACATAGTTCAATGTTCATCCGCAGGTCCAATTGTTTTTTTTTTCTTTGCTAGCATATTGTACCCTGGAGACAGATTATATAGCATTGGGGGAGAAGAACTTGGATAATTATAGCAGGCGTGCAGTTGCTAATATGTAAAATGTTTGGTATTCATGCCAAGTATTTGCATCCTGCAAGTTGCATACATCATGAATGTTATTGACCCCACACCAAAACGGGACCACTCAACTGCTTCCACTCTTAGTACCAGCACCAAACAATGATCACCGACTAGCTCTACCTCCGGAGTTAAATCGGATTCAGGATGAACAACTCGAAACAAGATAACGAAGAAATGGGCATTAGACAAAAAGGCATAGATATCTGGAATAACTTCACATTCAGTATTATGCACAAAGTGAAAGATCATGATGCTCTACATTCACATGATGGATCAAAAGCCATTGGTTGATTGAAATGGCGAAAGAGAAGAAAAAAAAGACATCCTTGGAAAGGATCAATCCTCTCTCTCTTTCTTTACTCTCCAGCTAAACTTAATCCACTCCAATCAACTAGTGACTCTTGACACATCAGTAATCACCATTTATTTATTTACTTCTGCAAACAAAGCCCTCTTATATCATTTTGAATATGATGACATGAACATCCTATATCTAGAATTAATACCCTTATGATTGGGTTTTGCCTTTAGAACTAGCTAGATAGTTTACCGTACGAAACTTATCTTCAATAAAAGCTTTTAATGCATTTTTCTCTTTTTCACAGAAAGTTTAGTTCACATATTCTTACTATAAAGTATATATCACATGCTATATATGTAATAAAGATCAAGCAATTGCTGCATCATGCACATGCATTTACTTGTTGTCTCTATTGTAGGTGGACCCTCCAAAAGTGTGAGGAACCACCATAGAAGTCAAAAAGAAACCTTGAAACCTCTTTTTCATTGAACCATGATGATGATCAGCAGCACTTATTCTTCAACTAATTTTGGGCTGTCGATCCATCCCATCGGTCATTAAGACTCATTGCCCCCATATCTGACCCATCAGACTCGAACCCATGTTATCGAGACCACTCCATTCATTGCTGCAATATGAAACGATAGAGCTTCCCCAATATGTGGATGGGGGCTGCTCATCTACCACATGGGACATAATGATGCTTTGGTTGCACCACTTTTCCAGTATTCTCCATATCAACTGGGTTCTGGTGTTGGCAGCTCCTAAAGGTTTTTTTTTTTGAAGGATGGCAGCTCCTAAAGTTAAGTGGTCACACACACTGCCTTTTGTAATTTGTATCACAAGCCCCTAGTCCCGGTCTCACACATTGAGATGAATCCTTGTTTTCTTCCACCCTAGGCTACTTTGCCTGACTCCCAATGATTTCAAACCATTGGCTCTGTTGGCTTAGTTATGGTATTTGCTGGTGTTAGTGATGACAGTGGTAGCCATGGTGCTTTGAGATCCTGCCATTAACACCAAAACTTGCAAGCAAAAGAATTAGTCTACTAGTAAGTGTTTAACTGAGAAACTAGCCTTGTTAGATCCAGTGAAGACATGTCAAATAATTTTTCATATATTATATTTGATTCAAAGAAAATTCCACTCAATAGTATGCTAAGCCCAGTCTGAATACTGTAAATAAATGATATTGTATTCGTTAGGGCAGCATGCACCATCATACAGAGATTGTGAAGAGGAAATCAGCACCATTCTGATAGCATATTCATCTCACAATGACCATAAAATAAATAAACTGAATAATAATGATCTTCCTCACACAAATTTGTTACAAACAGATAATGTCCGAAAGAAAAGTTACTACATACAGATGTGTAAAAGCACTTCCAGTCTTGACGTGACTATACATTTAGCATTCTCAGATAGTCATCTATTATTGAAATAGCAGATGAGCGGTAACCGGAGCCAAAGTGATTGTAATGATTTAGGTAATGATACAACAGATAAAGATCTCTTCTCTTTTCAAAGCCTGGTTGTTTGGGCATCACCTGGTAAATGATAGCAACACGAGAAAGTAATATATGAAGCTCAGGTTGCATTGATGAGGTTTTCTACAAGACTTAAATTCAACATGATGTGATTTCTGATGAATTTATGACTCAAGAAAATCAATAGTTATAAAGGGTAGCCAATCATTAAGGCCGAAGCTTCAGCAGTTCCATGAGCCGGAATGGCATTCAAATTGATTACAGGTCCCAATGGCAACAGTTAGCAGCCAGAAAACCTTTCAATTATTATTTTTTAAATCAAATGCTAGTGACCCTGAAAGATATTAATGTCTTCCAAAGCAAAGAACAATTATACAGGAATTTGATCATTTTTTAAGTCCACTGTGACTGTAATGCTTAAAACATATAAAGCTTTTTGAGAAGAACAGTACCTCAAAGTA